GGGTGACGACTTAACATTTCATTCAATAGCATGCAGGTTTTGCTTTGTATACAAACAATAAAGCATGGCTGCACAGTGAACAACTGGAAAGGTGAGATAAACAGAAAAAAATGGATTAAACTGTAAGAGAACGTGCGCCCCTCAATACAACAGTGTTCTTATTCCTGTCAACGGTATTCTACCACTGAAAGTAATGCGACTGTGTGTGCACATTGATGAGAGCAGCTGGCCTGAAGTAATGCAAAGCATCAACAAACTCCCCACTGAGACAGTCATTGGTTCCAAGATGAAGCCTCATTAGTTTAAACAGCAAACTGAAAAAAAAACCTTTTCCCATTTTCACACTTGATAAATCTGTAATACTTTTCTTTTGTGGATGTTTGATTGAGAAAGTGTAGTAGTGTGTATATTGTGTTAAATGACCAATAGAGCATTACACATTCTTATAACAGACTTTTACTTTGAAAGGGTGCAGGCTAAAGCTTATATTCCTACATTTTCTACATTTCAAGGTGTACAGTCATGGCCAAAAATATTGGCACCCCTGCATTTCTGTCAGATAACTCACTGTCAATAATTCTCTCCAGTCCATTTTATTTGAGTTCTGTGTGGAATGGAACACATTTGGCTTTTTTTTTCCTGTTTTTTTTTTTATTCCTCCAATGAAAACAAAAGAAATAAAGGTTTTCTGGGAAGTGATGCATTATTTGACAGGAACTGATGCAGTGGGTGAAGAACAATTGAGACCTACTCGATGCACCTCGCTATCTGGGAGCTGACAGTCTGTTTTAAGCCATGGACTGGAGGCATCGCAATGTGTCTGTGACCACTACGGGTCAACAGGGGGATGCACACAGCGGATTCCTCCTGGTGAAGTGAGTTCATCAGGATCAGGAAATTTCACGTTCAAGTGCACTTCTAAGCATTCATGGAAAGTGCTGTCCCCACCGTCCTATAGGAATTCATGATAACCAGTTCAACCACTGAGGAAATATAACAACACAGATGACTCTCCAAAGACTGTCTGAAAGTTAATTTTGTGGGAAAATTCTCATCCTTGCTTTGTGTATGCGCCAACAGAACCAGCAGCATAAAAATCTCATCTCTGATTCAGCTGGATGGGTGACAGCAATCTGCCATTCACAGTAGCTCCCTCTACTTGTGTGAAAACAGCTTTTTCCTAAATGCTTCCAAGGACAGCCACAATTTAGAGGTCACTTCTCCTGTCCCAAGGGGGAGAAAACATGATGTCTCTCCTATACTTCACCTCCATCTGTCCCTCTTTCTCATCATGGCAACCCATTATGTAGTACCTTGTCCTACCTATTTTCATCTGTTCCTCCCAGTGAAAGCTGGATCTGATGGTGAACAAATGTTAAGAAATGAATGGTGTGCTGCTGAGTAATGAGTCAGTACTGTTGTAATATGCCATTACTTCTAATGAGATGGGAAACAGCAAACAGTTGCATGAGCAAAAAGAGAAATGCATCGTCTTTATTTTCCCCGAGGTAAGGCTGACGCAGCAAACGCCATCACAGTGAACATCTATGTGTAAATGTGCTTCAGTACAGCGGGGAGTATTATCATCTCTGTGTGGTTGTTTTGGGTGTGTGGCAGCTGAGGAACATCTCGCAGGTGTGTGTGGACACACTTTTAATGAGCTGAGGAGCTGAAGCTGAAGGAGAGAGGGAGGAAGGGATGGGGGTAGAGGAGAATGAGGTCAGAGGTCAGTCTACTCCGCCAGCTGTCACTTTTCCCTTCTCAGCTCTACTTGTTCCCAGAGGAAATGTCATTTTATGAGTGTATATTTATAGAGAGAACATTAGAGCATTAGGCCACCCCCCGACACCCTGGAAGGGGCGAGGGGATTAATCTCGCTCGACTTTGTATTGAGTGAGGGTGCCTCTTTGACAGGTGCGATGCATTACCAACAAGACAAAGAACCTTTAGTTACAGTTTTAAAAGTTTTTGAACAAAAACAAAAAAAAGAAGCATTAAGGAAACAAAAGTGGTGAGGCATTAACAGGAAGAAGGGGAATCTGACACTCGATACGCCCTTATGTGCAGCAACATTTTGTCACTGTTAACCCAAATTTCCAAATGTCAGTTTAGGTTATGATATCTTTGTAAGTTATGCAGTAACGCGTTTGCAAGTGCCTTAGCTAACTACAGTAGTTTGCTAACACACAGCTAAAATTCTAACAGTTAACTTGTCCCATCATTTACACAAACAGATCTGGCTCTATTTTAGAAATAAATGAATTGTAATGGTAACTTTCCTCCCTCGTGCTATGTGTTAGCAAGCTACTATTAGCTAAGGCACCTGCAAACATACCAAGATGTTTGCTGTACACAGACATAGCGAGTGTCAGGATCCCTGTATCTCTATAATCTGCTTCTCGTGTTAGAAACATTTTGACAGAGAAATTACCTTTTTTTCACTAAGACATTGCTTTCATTTATTTATTGTCAGTAAATATGTTAAGAAATGAAGGCGTAAGGAGACAGGAAGGGAGATGGAGAACAGTGAGATTATCACAGACCAGAAAAAGCATTTTCTACGATTTGATGGTAATTAGTACATGCACCCTCTTGTTCTGATCAGCGGAGGCTGCCGTTTATTTGAGTGTGGCTCTGATGGCTTTAAAATGCAGGAGGGAGGTAGTGGCATTTTGTTATGGCAAACATGATTATGCTACATTAATTGCTTGAATCCATTTAGATGTGCAGATACTCAGGTGACACCTGTAACAAATGCTTCAGTAATTTCACAGCTGAGCATTTCATAAAACTATAAAATGAGGGAAATAATGGACCCTACAAGCAGGCAAGACAAAAAACAATAAACATTATTTACATTAGGGCTAAAAGAGCTTACAGAATAAAACATCCAAGTAGGTGTGTGCAGAAAACTCCCTCTTACCGCACTCTTTCTTGGGCTCATCTGATCTGTCCTTGCAGTCCTTGACAGAGTCACACACCTTGGAGCTATCAATGCACTCTCCATTTTTACAGAGAAACTTCTGGGGTCCCTCACATTTGGTGGCTGTGACATAAAAGCAGAAAATAAATCAGCATCCACATCATAAACTTCATGAAAATATATTTGCATAAGCTACTGCGAAGTGAATCAGAAACTCATGCATCAAAAATTGTGTGAAGTCAAACTGAATTATCTCCAGTAGTTTGCCAAATTATTGAAGGCTGGCATGAAACATGTGAAAGCAAAAAATACTTCCCACTCAGATATTCATCATCATCATAATCGCACATTAAAAGCCTAGTGTTGTAAAAACTGAGCTTTAATTCGATCCAGTTTCACAGTGCAATGGTTTAATTTCCTGCAAAATAATTTGGCACCCCTGTGTGTGTGTGCTGGTACAGTAAATTATGCATCACAGTAAGAAGAAGGAGAAGTAATGAATCTGACTTAGAAAAAAAAAACTGTGGGCTGGATGCAGAGAGCATGACATCAGTGGTCATTACAGCAAAAGATTCAACAATAATATGTCCAGAAAATGCCATTTGGGTTAGAGCTGAAGTATTATTTTAACGATTCATCGATTTTCTTTTCATTTGTGCACCGAGGTAGCCACAGGCCGACACACACTTTAATTAATGGGATGTAACAGAGGTAAGAAAATACAAGGCTGCTCATACAGGTCTTAAAAGCTACAAAATCATCACTCAACTGCAAACTCTATTGGTTTAAAGTGTCTGAAATACGCTATTTTATATTAACACAGGGCTGCATGTTTGTCAGCACTGATGAAAGAAAAATGAAAAACAATGACAAATTGTTGCCTTAAATACAGCTAACATTTTTCTGGGATTGGTATTAGTCAAATTAGTTTTCTTTTATATCATGCATGCAGCATGATGTTTGCATTCATTTCTCCAGCTGTGTTGTTGTGGAGCACTTGGCATGATGCACCTCAGTGGGAGGAGGGGACCACTGTGCAGCAGTGATGTCCCCTGTCGGGAGTCTCTTTTTGACACAAAACAAACAATCTGATTTATATGGTTTAATATTTCATTACTTTTTACATGTATTTTAAATGTGCCTCCCCTGTGTCTGTGTTCCAGCCTGGCCATCCCGTCCAAAATTTTCTAGACTGGCCTTGCATGCATAAAAGAAAAGGACAGATGATCACAGATTCTGGTGGCCAGCGATGACAAGTGAACTCACCGTTGACACAGCCAGACTCATCGCTGTGATCAGGACAGTCATAGACCTTGTTACACTGCTTCGTGCCGTGGATGCAGGAACCATCACCGCACTGGAACTCATCGGGACGACACGTCAACAGGGCTGTAACAGACACATAAACAAACAAAATTTTATCTTTGAATCCCTTTGAGAGGACCACTAAACAATGGGGTCAAAACCAAATCAAGCTTCTTTATATTTGCGTGTTTAGTATGAGCAAGAAAAGCTTAGAGGTGCAATAACATATGCTGTCTTTCAAACTATTCATGGCCTGTGTTAGGTGCTGTCTAGGACAGACACCGAGGGCAAGTGATGAATGACTGCTTCATTAATATCCCACTCACAGACACACTTTTCATCTACTGGCCCACTGTGCTCATATCATTCCTCTCTATCCAACACTAAAAAGCAATATATATGACTGAAGGAGATATGATTTAGTGTTACCACAGAACATAGGGAACGTAATGGAGCTCGGGCCACTGTAGCCTGGATACAACCTACGCGTCTGCACATACAAATACACAACATCACTGTTTCTATACAGTAGAGTGTTTCCGTGTATCGGGGAGATCAGTCCAGACATCTGACTGGCCATAGCAGACTTCACACATATTTACTGTACAAGAATGGAGAAGCAGCAAAATCTGAAACATATTGTAATAAATCACTCAAAAGCATTTGTTTTGCTGAAGAGATGGCATAAACATTTATTTATCATTTATTTAGTTTAAAGGTTTGTAAATATAGTCAATGTAATAAAGATGCATAAATGGCTTTAAATGCAAATAAGAGGTTTTCCCTCTGACTATCTCTACAGTAGGCCTCCCCATTAACGCAGGGATCCAGTTGCCTAACAGAAGATAAAACTCTTGTAAGTGCTTCTGATATGACACCACAGAGGGGGAGAGGTAGGCTGACGTGTGCGTCGCACATCTCGATAACGAATAGCGGGACTATCTGGGCGTCACACTCTGGCTTAGTGAGACAAGAGCTTCAGGGCTCCCCCATCCATGACCAGTTAATAGGAAAACCCGTTTTATCACAAGGCTCCATCTTCACACTATTTTTTATCAACATTCTGTACCTGCCAAAAACACCTACCCCAACTCCTAGAAGAGCGAAGATGTGCTAAATGACAAAGTAACACCTCAGAAGAGGAAGGATGGATTGTTTATGTTTTTCCAGTCTCATATTAAACAGACATCTTAACATATTCTGCACACAAAGATGATGTAAAATAAAAGCGACCTCCTTTGTAATTACTTCTGAATGTGTGGGCATTAGATTGCTCTGTGGCTATCTTGGGACACAATAAGAAGTGCATAAGACACTGGTTAAACTATTCATAGTGGTAACCGAATACACTGTATGTAGAACAACTCCAATGCTAACTCAAACATAATATGACCTGTTAGATATTAAAAGATGAAAACTGACAGAATACCGACAGAAAATAGCCAACTGCAAACAAGATGAATGGGTTGTAAATGTAACTCTATGAGTCACCTTGACCTGGAGACATGTGCTGTGTCACAGGTCCATACTACATGCTGTTTGCTTACAGAGTATAGCGGGTCTACAGGTCTTACAGGTTTGTCACAGGTCTACCCAGCTTTGGAGGTCTACAATGAGAAAGCAAAATGTTTTTCTAAAGCTTTTATAGTTGCTGATCTCCAGTATCGCTCTCAAGCTGTTTTATGACCACATGCAATTTGGTTTAATGGTTTGCAGTTATAAATAACTGCTCCATTTTTTGAGATTTGAATTATGGGATAATACTGAACATCAACAGCACACACAAAAATCAAGATTTTTTCAATATGAATGATGACCTGCTTAGAATTAGTAAATGTGGTTACATAAGTACATTTTTATATTGTACTGAAATGATCCCACAACATATTCCATACGTACAGAAACTGTTTCAGAGAAAGCAGCACTTTTTGTTATCAGTGTAAGCTGAGCGGACAGACTTGAACATGATACAATGAACAGCAGAGAAAAGGTACATGGAAGAGCACAGTGTATGAGAAGAGAGGCAAGGAGAAGCAGAGAGAAGAGACAAAGAGAAACTCACGGCAGTCAGACTCATCAGACTTGTCCTTGCAGTCTGGATCTCCATCACACTTCCAGGTCAAACGCACACACTCGCCGTTGGCACAGCGAAACTCTCCGGCAGTGCAGTTTGCCCTATGGTTAGGCAGGTACGGGACACCGTCCCCACCACAGCGCTCCAGCCCCTCATCCGAACTGTCGGAGCAGTCGGGGTCTCCGTCGCAGCTCCACATGAGCGGTACGCACTCTGAGGTATTACAGCGGAGGTGGTTGGGCCCGCAGGTCAGAGGAGAGGTACACTTGAGCTCATCACTGCCATCTCCACAGTCATTGTCACCGTCGCAAACATAGACGGCGGCCAAGCACTTGCGATTGGCACACGTGAACTCGCCAGTGGGGCAGGCTTTGGCATCTAGAGCACCAACAGAAGGAACAACACACTTTAGAAAGAAGCCTGAAGAGCATTTTCTCTCATAGAAACACTGATGCAGTAAAGATGTAGCATTTACTTTGAATTTAGTTTATTCAACAGGCTTTATTAAATGGTATTACCACAAAGAAGGTGAAAGGCTCTGTCTCCTGTGGTATGAAGAATGATATAGCTTTCTCTGACATCCGCTGTGAGACGGATCCTTATCGCTGTACTTCTGTCTCAGAACATCTTTCTTTCTAGTGCTTATTTATTGTCTACAAGTCTCTCAGTGGTCTGGGCCTGAGATACATATTAGAGATATGTTTGCTGAGTACAAGCCTGGTAGGTGCCTCAGATCTGCAGGGACTGGTCAGCTAGTGGTAGCCTGATCATTTTTCCACTTCTTTTAATGTTTCTTAATTCCACCCTGCATTGCACTTTATCTGCTTCTATTTTTACTTTTATTATTCATCCATTACTAAGTGACCAACTGACTTCACTGTGCTGTTTAGCTGATTGTATAGACACTGATGTTTCTACGCCTGCCTCTGGGGTTCCACTACTCAGAGGTTGGTCTTGGGAAGACTGAAGTAAAGGCATACACAGTATAATGAGAACAGTGAGAATCCACTGTCTGCCACAGCTCTATTAAAAGTACTAGATATGTTGCTGCTTGTACTATCATGTAATTGTTGATTTTAAGTAACATTTATACTTTATCTAATTTGAATTCTGATGTTATCTATACATGCATTTTAATGTTTATCATCTTGTGCATTGTGTTAAGCACTTTGAACTGCTATTATGTATGAAAATGTGCTATATACTGTAAATAAACTGGACTTGTCTTATATATGTGGTATAACAGGCAATTACTAAGATGTCAGAGCTTCAAAATTGATCTTTACAGAAAACATGTAGGGACATTAACTTCTAAGTTTTTTTTTTATTTTGCGTGTTGAGAATAAAGTCAAAATGTCGAGAATGAAGTTGAACTTTCACATTTTGACATTATTTTCAAAATGGAATTGCAACTTTATACTGAACATTGACTTTATACTTGACATTTTGACTTGCTTGTCGACCTTCAAAATTAAATAAATCTTGCTCCTCTCATTGTTTTCCCTTTAATGTGGCCCTAACAGTCCATCGCATAGTTTGTTCTGTACCTGTCCACTAAACAAAGCCAAGCCCATAGCAACACATAGGCCAGCACAGGAAGAAGCACAACTTGATATTTACACAAGCCACAGGCCACACCATTGCCTTTAGCTGTTGAGGGTATGTGAATGGATTGCTGTTCTGAAACACTTTACACTGAATCTGCAAGCTATGTTGTAGAGTTGTAGCATATTGCCAGGGACCTCTCAGAAAGCTCACCTCTTCCAAATCCAAACCATCTTGAACACAAGATTAGTCCTAGAATGTTTATTTTATGTGCATATATATATATTTTAACAAATACTTATTTGTAGATGAAAATGGATTTGTATTTAGCTGGCTATAAATTTATAGCATCACCATAATGAAAGTGAAACGTAATGACAAAGTGAGTGGCTGCCCCAGTAAAAGAAAACAGGATTAAAATCAACGTATGCAAGAAAAAAGAAATTAAATATCACAGTAAAGTGGAATATTATGAGCATAACCATGTGCAGAGTTAAACATGTCTTCAGCTAGTAAAAACAAACCTGTTTCCAGTAGGACTCTGTGCTACTGTTTATCTACTTTATATTTCACTTGTGTGGTTTGGCATTCAGGTTGGACGGCAAAGTAAGAAGTTCATTGTGCAGGGAAACATGTTTCCATACTGTGCATATGACAATAAACAATTTGAACCTTGAATGTCAAAGTGTCCTTGAGCAATCAAAAACAACCATTTATTTTTATCTGTATGCACACATCCAGCCACTTTCTGTGCAACTTAACGTCCTCTCAGCCATCTAACAGATATTTACACATTTCAAATGAAGGGACAGTGCAGATCTGGTCAGCTCAGAGGTCTGCTGCAGCAAGGTCACGGGAACGCATGTACACAATCCACTAACAACAAGCCTAGAAAGGTAAAAACACTCTCACCGGCTGCCTTTCCTGTGATTACACACACACACACTTATAGAGGAAACAGCTGTAGCAGAGCCTGTGTTCTCATCTACAGTCATCTAAGGTCAAAGGTCAAAGTGTTTATTGTCATATGCACAGTTAGGAAACGTGTTTCCCTGTACAATGAAGTTCTTACTTTGCCATCTACATGACTGCCACACAATACAAGTGAAATATAAAATAGATAAATAAGTAACACAAAATCTAAGGCACTTTAAAGCAGCAAATGAAAGAAGAATATAATATAATGAAGATGAATCTATAACAAAATGTTATTTTCGGCTGTTCCTGATAGGGGTCGCCACAGCGACACACTAACGACTCGCATGTTGAGGTTTGGCACGTGTTTTACGCCAGATGCCCTTTCTGAAGCAACCCTGAATCAAACCCGAGCTGCAGTGGCGAGAGTGCTGAATCCTAGCCACTAGTCCATCAGAGACCCACGAATCTATAGTAAAAATTCAGAGAAAATAATAGAAGACATGATAGGAGTCAGTGTGAAGGGAGCGTTTAACCTCTGTGACTGAAAAGGTAAGCTAACTGAGGGCCAAAGGGGAGGGAACCAAGGCACAGAGCGAGTGCTGAGACAAGACAAAATATCCCCTGTTTAGCTAAGTTGTAAACTTGCCTAGATATTGATTAGCAGACTGAAATTAAGACAGAAATTTTGTCAGTGGAAGCACTTTAGCCCTGGGAAATGTTCCTTTGTAAAAGCTTCATCACTGCAAACACACAGTATCTGACAGATCAGTTTCACTCCATGGACAGGGAGTATAAAAAATATTAAGGAAATCAGGCAAAAATACAACCACAAAAATATCAAGTGCAAACATATGGAAACACATAAATCCAGACAGGCATGCTCAGGAGAAATGCCCAGTAAGTGCACATTAATCTCCACATTGCTCTAGAGCTACTGCTTAATGTAATGCTGATCAGTGGAAGCTTCCTCTGGTGAGACCTGGATCCTACATAATTCAACATGCAGATGACTCAATAAGCAAGATGCTTCTGCAAGATTTACTTTTTCAAGTAAGGCAGGCTATCCACTCTGTACATGTCTACTAACAGCAGAAGACACTGGGGTTAACTGGGTATGTTAGACCTCAGTCAGCTTTGGAGGTGTAACCTATCCACCCACACTTGGGTAAATAAAAGTGAAAGTGTAAAGTATAGTAATGTGAAAGAAAGCTCATGTTGAGGGTGCTTTCACAATGTATTGGCTCAGTGAAGTTCCAGTGAAATCGGGTTAGTATGTTGGTTTGTTTAGGCTGGTGTGAGCACTTATTAGAAATCTAGCGTGGAACCAAAATGTCTGCTACTGGAACTATGACATACTGTAATTGTGACGAGTTCAAAGGTTAAACTAAACATATGTATTTGTGTCTTCTGCTGATCATGTACAAATTATTTCAGCGCTATTTATAAAAAAAGGCACAGCTTCACCCATCGGGCAGTGGGCTTTTACCTACAAAACTCGACAGTAGCCAGATCACTTGAAGTGGTGTGCAGGGTTTGTTCTTATGCAGTGTAGTGTATCTTCATGACCATTTACGTTCACGGGTTTCTGCGGAACATGCTACATTGCCATCGCTGATGTAGAAGGCAGGCATCTTCACTATTGGATGTATATCCTATACATATATGTATATCGCAGGCAGTACTTACTGTAGGCAACTATAACAGGCTGCTATTATATGCAACATTTACCTGTGACAGATGTCAGCCTGTTTCTGCAGCAGTGTCTTATGAACTGCTTGAATCCCATATGCATCCAGGCAGGTGCAGAAGCAAAATATTTAGCCACGGTCAAAGTAGATTTATTCATAAAATGATTAGCATAACATTCTCCATACAGTATAATCTATTATATTTGGACTGTAACATTACTGATGTGGGCTATATATGAAATGAACTAAATCCATTTTGTAGCCATTCTACTGACTCTGTGTTTTTGTGTTGTAGACTATAAACTTTTCTACCACTGGGATCCTGGTACAACCAGAAAAATGCAATATTCTCCTTGCAAAAAAATGATTAAAGCTAATATCTTGATACTGAATGGTGTTTTCTGCCTCAGATTACCTTTACTGCACTCTTGTGTGTAATATTTTAAAGATCTTAAATCATCCAATCTGTTCTCCCAGATTCGAGTTCCTTAAAAGGGCCAGTATGTTGTGTTTTCCTTGCCAAAAAGTAATTATAGATTGTTATTCACTGGGGTTTTTTGCCTCAGATCACTTTAATTTCACTCTTGTGGGTAAGATTTTAAAGATTATCAATCATCCAGTACCTTTGAACCTTCGCTAGTATAACCTGTAGAATGCAATATTCTCCTTGCCAAAAGCGATTACAGCTAATATTTTGATACAGAATGGGGTTTTCTGCCTCAGACTATTTTTATTTCACTCTTGTGAGTAATATTTTAGTTATCAGCCATCCAGTACCTTTGTACCAGCTTCAAACAAAGGGGAACGTGTATCTGTACACTGCTTAGAACTCTGGCTGTGTCACTTTCACTTGTACTGTCAGTTTATGTCACAATTAGTAAATTCAGATTGCAGATGCGGATGCAGACTGATAGTTTCAGAATCATACAAAGGTTAGGTGATACGAAGCCTCCATCCAGCCTACTGAAAGGTGTTTTTCACCTGTTTTATACTGTCTAACAGGAGGGTTATTCATCCATCTTGTCAGGTTTGCTCGGCCGCTCTGGCCTCCCTCACCTTTCCTACTGTCTCTTGCCCATTAACACTAATCACGTTCACCTGTTCCTCACTCCCTTATCACCAGCTGCACTTGATTAGGTTGCTCACTATATTACCCGGTTTCACTCCTCAGTCACTTGCCAGTTCGTTCTAGTCTCTAGGCCATTTTTTCT